ATAAGTCATCGGTTGTTACCGTATTTCAAAAACTATGATCATATTGAATGTAATAGGACTGGGGTTTGATTTTGGGTTCAAGTTTTGTTGGATTCTTTATGTTCGTAGTTTTTTTAATTCTACAGATATAAGATCTGTTCTGTTATCTATATAAATTGATTTGCGTCCGGTTCGATTCTTTTGGTTTGAGCTGAGTTTGGTAATAATTATAATAACCGACTAATATCAGATAAATTTTTGGTTCCAATATGATAACGGTTTGGTTACGATTTCTATGATTAATTTTAGATTAATCGGGGTAAAACTGATTTTGGGGGGGGATAGGTGTTTCGGATAAATATCCAGTTACGAAAACAAAATTTTAATATTTTAGTTAAAACTATTCAAATATTTTGTGTCTTTATGATAATTTGAATAATGTAAAATACTTTACATAAAATATATTTGAATATTAAATTATTTGAAATGTAAATTGTTATTATCTTAAAAACTATGTTATTTTTAATTTAGTCAACAAAAAATAAAATTGAATATGGTTTTTATATAAAATATAAACTAAAAACATAAATTACTACAATGGGCCAAATGATTAAAGCCAACCATAACATAAAATAAATTAAACAAATGTCCAATTCTATTATAACAATGTTTAAAAGCCCAACTCCTTTAAACTTATAGCCAAACAACATTAAACTCTTTATTACTACTATTTAAGTTTCCAAACAAACCTAAAGAGTACTACAACTTTAATAAGATAGATTATTCTACTGTAAAATGATTATCAAAATTAACAAATCAGTTTTTTTTCTTTAAAAGCTTTCAAAAATATATTGTGTATGCCAAGATTGCAATCAAAGCTCCCAACCAAAACGCACAAGAATCAGATAAATGAGAGCCAAAAATTAGGTTTTTAATATACTGCTATAAGTATTATAAATAATATAATAAAATATATAAAAAATCTAAAATAATTTATTTTAAAATCTAAGCTGTATAAGGAACAAAACGAAAAATATAAAAGTTGTTCAAAACCAGAAAAAAAAACCGTTAAATCAAATAGTATATGACAATGACCAGAACGAATTTTACTATATTTTATATTACACGAAAATTGTTTGATAATAAAATTATTATATTAGTACATTTTAATATCCCCTTTATATATAGTAATATAGAGCATATAGTAATACAAATCGTTTATATATCTTTTACAAAGCATATAATAATTAAATAATTTTATACAAAGCATATAATAATATAATACATAATACATATTTTACTGTATTTATTTTATATTGATCCATATTTGTAATAATAATCGATGATATATATATTAATATAATAATTTTATACAAAACATATAGGAATACAAATGGTTGATATATATATTTTATACAAAGCATACAGTAAGAATACATAATACATATGTTTAGAAGTACGGAAACATATCAGACGAATATCATGAGATGACAATTATATTATCTTAATATCATCGAGTGTGAGATCATATAGAAAAGCTTATCAACATTCCATGAAAACTCTTCGTATTATATGAATATCATCGAGGCCAGTGTTATGTATCATCCGTTTGTATAGTATTTATTAAAGCTCGTATGATATGATTATGTTAAATGATAATGGGAGTGTATGTAATTAGTGCAGTAACATAAAGTTTTTTTTTAAAAAAATGGGCTGAGAGTGTATATGATATTGCCACATAGAAAATAGCATGGTTATAATAAACACATGAGCATAAGGTTAGTTTACAAAAAAAATGTTTTTAAAATAATAAGAAGGGGATACAAATTGAAGAATACACTAAACTATATGCAATCACAACTCATATAGTATAATAATATAATATCTTCATATTACTAAAATGATACTTCACCATATTATTAATAGTCACAATACGCTACATTTTTAGTAATGCAATTATGACTCATATGGTATAATAATATAATCTCTTTTTTTTTTTTGAACAAACACAAACTTTCATACATCAAATAGAAACAGAGTTCACTCCTCAAAGGTGGGAGTCATAGAAAGCATGGAGAGGGCTGATTTTGCCACACTATCAGCTTTCCCATTACTCAATCTAGGAATGTAAGAAAAAAAGATAACATCAAAAGCAATACTAAAGTGATAAATGTCAAACAAAATGCCAAACAATGGAGGTGTAGAACATCCTTCCTTTATCAACTTGATCAAGGATTGAGAATCCGACATAACCATCAGGAATTTCACATTTGACGACGCGGCATACATCACAGCAGACCAGATAGCGAGGGCCTCAGCCATTAACGCCGAAGAAACGAAGCTGCTCGTCGCACTAATCGTGTCGAGTCGCATCGGGTGGGAAGTACCTGAGAAAACACAACCAATACCACAATTCTCAGTAACTGCATTCCATGCAGCATCAACATTACAAACTATCATATTGCTCGAAGCTTGGGTTCTGGCGCCGCGGTTCGCTGAGGGAGGAGATGGGATTGGTTCGACCGTTGGGAGGGATCCCTGAGTCTCCTGCCACTCCTTGGCGTCCTTGATCGATTTGTTGATGATTTCTATAGCGGAAAAAGATTTATTCTCAAAGTATAGCTTATTACGAGCCTTCCACAGATTCCAAAGAATCCATGGCCAAAGGGGAACATTGAGACCAACTGGAGGCAAGACAGTCAGCGAACAAGCTTGCTCAAAGAAAGTTGCCAATGAAGGTAGCGTAGCTGGTGGTCTGCAAAGGATGGGAGCCTCATCCCAGACCTGTTTGGCTAGATCAAAGTGGAGGAACAAATTGTAGGTCATCCTCCACACCATCGCATCTCTTGCATCTGAAGCTTGGGAATCCCCTGGTTTCCAGATTAGCACTAACGGGTATAGCTCTTCTCACCACCTTCCAAATGAAGTCCTTTAGCTTAGGAGACGTCTTGACATTCCAAATGTTTTTTTGTCTAGTTGAAAGAAGCCAGCCCCACTGGTAACATAGCTGACACGTTATCACGCATACCGGCTCCATACCCTGTCTTTGTGGAGTAATTACCAGACTTCTCCAAGAGCCATACTAACCGGTCTGGGGCAGGGGAAAAGCTCATGGCTAGACGAAAGATGAATGCCTCATACTGAGGGAGATAAAGATTGACTTTGTCTCTGTCCCATCTATTAGATAGTGGACAGAGCAAGTCACTTATGCGAAAGTTCTGATCTTGTGCGTTGGGAGGGCCGATAGGAGTCATTGGAGTGACACAAGAGAGCCACGGATCCTGCCAGACTCTTATCTGATCACCACTACCTATGACCCAGCCAAGACCTTTGCGAAGGATCTCTCTACCAGCCAGGACACTGCGCCACCCGTGGGAGGCATTAGATGGAGCAGAGCATTCCATGAAGCTGGAGAATCTAGCGTATTTGCCTAAGAGAACCTGAGCAACCAGGGAGTTAGGGTCAAATAGCAAACGCCATCCTATCTTTGCAAGTAAGGCATCATTGAAGGTTTCAATATCTCTAAAACCCAACTCGCCGGCGTACTTTGGTTGAGTAAGAGAGGCCCAAGAGATCCAGAACATCTTCTTCTTCTCCGGGTTGTTGTCCCACCAAAATCGAGTGAGTAACGACTGGATATGCTTGCATAAAGAGAACAGTCCTGACCAAGACCTGTTTCCCAGTTTCGAAGAGGAAACGAGAGGTCCATCTATGGGCTTTTTGGCGGATCTTGTTGAGGATAGCTGCAAAGATGTCTCGTTTCTTTCGGCCAAAATGCTCTGGAAGTCCAAGATACTTCCCAAGCCCGCCCTCAATGTCTATTGAAAACGCTGACTTAACCCGAGTCTTCACTTCCACTGGTGTTTTTGCAGAGAAAGTCACCAAGGACTTTGCAAAATTAATACTTTGGCCAGAGAGGCTCTCATAGGTCCGCAAGATATCCAGAAGAGTCGCCACACTCGATGCACTCGATCTGCAGAAAAACATCGTATCGTCGGCGAACAGTAGGTGATTGATAGCTGGACAGCCACGAGCAACCCGCACACCCGGGAGTGAACCATCCAAATGAGCTTTCTCACACATAGCCGATAACACCTCGGTGCATAAGATGAACAAGCAGGGGGAGAGCGGGTCTCCCTGTCGTATACCATGATAAGGCGTCACTGATACCATTGGAGAACCATTTATGAGATAGGAGTAAGAAACCGTCTTAACGCAACTCATCACCCAGACGATCCAGACTTGATCGAAACCAAGCTGATGCAGCACTGCCTCGAGGACCACTCAATTCTATCATACGTCTTGCTAATGTCTGTTTTAACAGCCATGGAGCATCGCTTCTTTGCTTCCGAGGTCCGAAGATAGTGTAACGTCTCATGAGTAATCAGAACATTGTCTCCAATTGCTCTACCCGCTACAAATCCTGATTGAGATTTGGAAATCAAGGAGGGGAGTAGAGGTTTCAGCCTGCGTGTGAGGATTTTACACTACAAGAAATAAGGGTTTTAATAGCATAATATGATAGCATTTTTTACGATTGTGCTATAGTTGATATAGTTCTTACTTTTAGATAGCGTTTGTGAAAACGAAACGCTATGCAAAACTAAAACAGAAAAACAATTGATTTTCTCACTCACCCTTATTTCACTTTCCCTCTCACTATTTTATTTGCCTCCAAATGTAACAATTGTGGGCGTGCATTATTCATCTTTTTTCTATTACGGAACAGAGAACAAATGAAGAAGAAGCAAATCTAAATCACCTCTCTCTCTCTCTCTCAACATTCCACTGTCTCTTTTCTTTATAAAATTTTATAAAATCGCCTCACACAGATCTCTTCTCAGGTTTCTTACAGCTCATGACCAGAAAAGCTTTGAGTTTTTATTTCCAATTTTAAAGGTCGGGACTTTAAGTTAGAAGATCAATTTTTTTGAGTTAAAAAGAAATGGGTTCATGAGTTGGTTCAAGAAGCTGCTCTTGTCGCAGTCAGGAAAACGCATGACTCGATTCTTCAAACAGACATGGACGACGCTGTTGACCGACTCACTGTTGGTCCGACGCGTATCGGTTTAGAATTGGGACATCAAGGTCAGTGCCGTAGAGCCACAACGGAAGTTGGAGTTGCAATCACTTCCCATCTTTTATTGCGGTACGAGAATGCAAAGATCGAGCGGTGCGATCGAATCTCCATCATCCCTCGTGGTCAAACACTGTCTCAAGTCGTGTTTCATCGGCTTGACGATGAATCCTACATGTTTGGTCGTCGTCCACAACTTCTTCATCGTCTTCAGGTGCTTCTTTTCCATCTCTATTAAAAACTTTTCTTTCATTTCTTTGATTATTGAGTTTTTATTGTTCTCTGATAAAAGGTCTTGCTCGGAGCAAGAGCTGCTTGAGAAGTGATCTACGGCTCAGATACTTCAAAGGCATCAGTAGATTATCTCTCAGATGCTTAGTCTAGGATCTTTGGGTTTCCGACAAAAGCTTGGAAGATCATGAATGGTCAAAAACTTGAAGAAGAAAAGATAAAGATCCAAGCCAGTGATCTTGATCTTTCTCTCTGTTTACAGATTCTAAACGATGGTTTGTATGATCTCAGCTTCCCAATTTTAAGTATCAAAGTTTGATTTAGGAGACGCTGAAACTCTGTTTTTTTTCTTTTGCAGCGATTTTGCATTTTAAGGAGGGGAACAAGAGATGCTCAGAGATTCTTAAGTGTATTCAGAGATGGGCTCCCTTCAAGGACTTGATCAAGGCAATGCAGGTCGTAAGCTAACTAAGATTAATGAAACTAGTAATGAATAGTGATCCTTTTAGATCCTAAGCTTATAGGCTTTTTTCACCATTTTCAACTTTATCATGTATGACATGCTAAAGTTTATCTGGAAGAATGTTATGGTGGCAACACAATGACACATTGATTAGTGATATAATCTAGTCTGAGGAATCCTGGTCACTAGTAGTTCAGTGATCTTTTTTACTCTTTTAAGTTTATGTATCATGCTATTGCTTTCATCTCAAATCATATGTACTGAGCGCTTTAGGTGTTCTTACTTGATTGTAATAATCTTTAATGCAGATGTTGTCTCGGCCGTTATTGGTTCTCACGATTGCTGAGGCTCTTACAGATCAGTCAGAAGTAAAGCAAGAAGCCCCGGGAGGTACCGCCTCTCATGCATCTGCAGAATCAGAGTCTGACCCGCAGACGTCTCAGTCTCCATCAGATATAAGGTGCATGATGTCAAAGCCTTACTTGTCAGATTGTAATATAATAGCCTGATACTGTACGACTTGAATTTGTAGTACTTGAAGCTTTGCAATTACCCTGAAATTAATAACTACCATAGCCGTATTCTGAGTATTATTTTATATATTTATCTACATATTTTAAATTTTCTGTAAATGCAGAATTGAAGATGAGGCTCCAGATTCTGTAACTTCACAAGACTGGCTTACACAACTCTACAAAGAACTGGAAAAGCAGAGACTTAGCTTGCCAGAGAGGTACTGTCATAAAGTTTATACTTGTGATCATAATCTTTCTGTCTCATTTTAATGTATAGACTCAATGAGGATGAGCTTCGTAGATTCTATAGAGTGTCAAATGGAGACTTCACATCCTTACTATCCTCAATAAAAAAGACAATCCAGTGAAGGGAGACTTACAGAATCCTATCAGAAGAAGAACTTGAGACATGGTCAAGTTTAGTCTTTTGGCATGGATATGACAGTAACCAAAGACCTTGCCTCATTGTCCGCTTGGGGCTTGCTTTCCTAAAGTTGCCATCTCATGAAAGACCTTGTTTCGCTCATGCAATCAGTACGTCATTAATTAGTGGCTCTGCTGCAACTTCAAGTATTTTCTTTTGCTACGTTATCCATTTAGTCAAAGATTATTCTTGTTTTTCTCAGTTTCTCAGGTAGAGCACGGCCTTTTGCATCTTCTAAACCCCGAGAATTCAGAACTTACAGTACTAGTGGATTGTGAAGGATTATCTCCTCTGAGGATTCCGATGCAGATGTTGAGATCATGTTCTTCAGTTCTTCAAGATCACTTCCCTAACCGTCTTGGCTGCCTATTCATCATTCGCCAAAGAAAATTAGAACATGCTCCTTCTTAAAGTCTGTCGTTAGTGTTTTTCTGTTGATTTTGGTTGTGCTATCATGTTCACAGGTGGAGTAAGAAATTTGATAGCCTTGTAGGAGTCCAATTTTGATCAGGAATGTCAAGGAAAGGGAGTGACGGTCAGTACTTGGTCTTCCAGAGCTTATAAAAGATATGTCAGCATCTGGAATTGATAGATCTCCATATGATGCTCTCCCATTCAACCCTCTTCTAGTGAAAGGTGGCCTGTTTTTAACCAAAGAAGTTTCATTGTATGATTGTGAGCATGTCAAATGAAAAAAAAAACAAGATATAAAGTTTCATTGTCTGATTGTGATTATTCTTGACTTTGTATGTTATAAAACTCATCGTTGAGTTTGTTAGTTGTCTTTTGTTCCAAACTCTGTTTTTAAACATTTAAAACTAATGTTCAGATAAATTATAAATAAAAGCATAATTCTATACCCTAAACTCTATTTCATAAACCATAATTTCAATTGACATACCCTAAACATTAATAACAAATTTTAAATTTAAATCTAAAGTTAAATTCGTAAACTTTATTGATGTTAGTGTAGGATTATATGTAAAATGTATGTTTTATGAATTTAATGCAATGTTTATTTTGGTTATACTAATAACAAGTAAAAAAAAAAAACTCTTTTTATCTCAAGATCTAAACCCTAAACATGCCCTAAACCTAAACCCTGATATTTTTCACCTCAAGATATATAAATGTAAAACCAAAGGATGAAAAATGATAATTAAAGTTCTGTTATAATATATATATATATATATATATGTATATAAATATAATAGTTTAGGGGTTTATATATCTTGTGTGGTATTACTATATGGAGTTTGGTGTACTTAAAACCCTAAACCCCAAAAATTAACTCCAAACGTTATATCATACTTCAAACTTTAAACTAAACTCTAAAATTTTTTTTTTCAAAATTCACTCTTAATATCCAAACTTCAAACACCATAAACATTACCCTAAACTCTAACCCTTAAACCACATATCTCATTTTAACATATATCATAAAACATTAGATCTTAACTTTTAAATGAATTATATTTCTGCAAATAAATTAAAATTTCAAATACAAATTTAGATTTCAAAATTTAAAGTATGATTCCAAACTACTTAAAGCTTAAATATTTTTTATAATAGTTATAAATAAATAAGAAGACAATTTGTATTGTCTTTTTTCTTGAACCCTTGATTGATTTGAATCAAAGGTCCAAAATCACTCTTATATCTATCCTCACCATTTTTTTCTATTGGTTATAAAGTTGTGTGTGGATTGATAATCTTAACCATAGATTAGATATTTTGAAGGGTTCAGATTAAATATTTCTGTGTTTCTCTCTCTCTCTCCCCCCCTCTATCTCACGCTTCTTCTCTTCATCTCTCTCTCTCAAACAAAAAGAACGACGAGATTCAGTTCCTCTCTCTCTCTCTCTCTCTCTCTCTCTCTCTCTCTCTCTCTCTCTCTCTCTCTCTCTCTCTCTCTCTCTCTCTCTCTCT